ATTATATGATTTCATTTATAAGTGAAATATAAAAATGAAACAAAACACAAAACAAAGCAGCAATAGACTCATAGACAATGAGAAGTAACTAACTGGTGGTTATCACTGCAGAGGGGTTGGAGTATGTGGGTGAAATAGGTGAATCAAATAAACAGGTACAAACTGCACACTGTAAAATATATTAGTCATAAGAATGAAAGTATAACATATAAAATATAACCAATAATATTGTAAAATATTGGTATGGTAACAGGGGGAACTACATTTACCATGGCAAGCATCTTGTAATGTATATAATTAACAAGTCACTATGTTGTACATCTGAAACCAATATAATATTGTATATCAAACTTTATTCCAATAAAAAAAGTACTATCACAAACTGACCACAGCAATCTTACTCCAGATGAGAAAATGTTTTCAAAATCACTTAATGGGATCAAAGAAGATGACTACTCAACTATTTAAAGAGTTGAGCTTGTTTTTACAAATATTCAGTAGAGGTCAACTAAAGGGCCTTCCTATTGGATTGGCACAGAAATTTTTTCCATTGTAAATCAGCATGCTCCTTCAAAACACCTTACTTTTTATATTGTATACTAAAAATTAGTAATTCTGGTCCTAAAAAAAGTAAATATCTCAAATGCTAAAATCATTGTCTTTTCTTTTATTGTATAAAGCCATTCAACTAAATTCATTAAAAAATGTAACCCCTTCTTTTAGGATGTCTGCCACAGGCATAATTATGAGAATACTGCCCCCCTTAGGGAACACCAAACCAATGAGAATCAAGTCCCAAATAAAAAACAAATCAGAGAAAAACATCTTTGTTTCTGTTGGTTATATAAGATCAGAGTCTCAAATGAAAAGAATTCTATTCATGTCCATCAAAGCAAAAGGAAAGATAAAGACAAGAATGACAGAGAATACTACCTCAGGCTTAGCTCTCCAAACTAGCCAAGGGACCCACTGAAGATAGTATCGATCGAATTTTGATCCAATAGAATATTCTGTTACAGATTTGACATGTTATTAGCAATCTTTTTTTTTCCTTAATCACTATTCATTGCCTCCACCAAACAAAAATTCTTATGGGTACATTGCTAATTATCTTGGTTTCTTTCAGGTTGTGAAGATATACTATATCACAGGAATATGACAAAACTAAGGACCAAAATGATCCCTGTTGAAGCTATGGTCTAATGTGAGATCTCAGAAGTACTCACATCAAACTTCAGTTGCGAAAATCAATTTTTTAAAGATTGAGGCATTATTTCAAAGATACCCATAATAAATAGATCAATTGGAGAAGATTCATTTAAAATGTTTCCTTCCTGATGACTGCCCTTTGCCTAGAACCTAATTTACAATTCTGGTTGGATCTGTTTCCCAAATAAAATGTCACTTATCCTTTTGATCACAGGGATAAAAATATGCTCACTTTCCAGGATGTACCATAACTTATGTGGAAATGTTAAGTATGTGATGGACTGCTGCTAACTAAAAGGAACAATATATCCACATAGCCATACTACTCATTTTGATAACTCATATTATAGACAAAGAGTCACTGCTTAGATAGATGATTTATATAAAAACAAAGGTTCTTATCTGAATATAATCTTGAAATGAGCTTTTGTCAGGTAAAAAGAGGTTTCAATGTGCCAGTTACATACCAAAAACCCAGTAAAAACAAACCAACCCAGTCCTTGAGCAGAAAAAAGTAAAGACCACAGTTTCTGATGACAAAAAAGAATTTGAACAAAATCGTTAGTTCCTTTGAAAAACATAAACCTTTCTTTGAATTAAAATAGAAGCCTCAACTCCAGGACTCCACTGTACCTGGGAGGTTATGTTTAGAAGAAGCAGTACAGAAACAACATACATGCCCACTTTGAAAGCAAAAGTAGGTGTCTTTTTCCAAGGCAAAGGAAAGACAAGCAGGGACAGCAGGGAGAGGAGGAGCTATAGATGGGAGGGTGGTTAAAACTGGGAACTTGAAAGTAAAATAAAAGTCTTGGAGCCCTGGTTCAAGGTGGTTATGTAATTATCCTCAATGTCTGCAGTATTTATGGAGTAGCTGGAGTCCAAGATTAAAACAAGGAATAAAAGTTCTGACTTCTGTCAAGGCTCTACCTTGAAAAGAATCTAAACTGGCTGGACATGTAAGAGAATGGAATAGTAGAAAGACATCTCCCTTTTTCCCTTTCCTGATTTTTAAATTAAGATCTAGAGCAAGCAGGGTCAGAAGACCTCTCAGATTTAGGCATAAAATGAACAACTTAAAGAGTAATCTGCAAGAAATTCTAACAAGGCATTTAAGGCAGGGGGAGGGGAACTACCTCATTTCTAATTTTACCTATAGAGACCAATCAGTAGGAAATGTCTTTTTATAAAGACAATAGGAGGGTAATATCAAAATTCTAGTTTCTAATCAAGATACTGAACTTTAATATTTTCATAGATTTTATTGAATTGGGCAACAATGTATTTGGAAACTGAGACACTGTGGTATTTTGGGAAACAATGAAAAACTTGCAAATGACAGGAAATTTGATAAGGCATTATATCAAGAATATAGACTATTCTGTACTCTTTGAAATCTTTGCTGAGAATTCTCCATTCCTGACCTAGGTCTTTTATGGAAAAATAACAAGTTGGTTTTTGAGATCATACAGTCATAAATATCTGTATTTATGATACAGGTATTTATGTAGAATAACTGTAGAATCAACATTTTATTTGGTACTTATTACACAGTAGAATTAGAACCCTTAGGGCTTTGAAGAAACAGAACTATATATTAGGATCTTAAAATTTTCTGGTTTCTCAACATTTCAATACATAAAATATTATATATTTTGACATTTAAAAGATTTAGCTATGGACTTTCTCTTGACATCAAAGTGACCAAAGCAAGGACACAATGAAGAATTTAATATAGAAGTAACTCCCTTTGACATCAATGCCATGATTTCAGTGTCCATCATGGGTCCCTGACAAAAGCTAGAAGCTTCTAAAGGTATCCTACTACAACAGTCCGAAAACTCAAGATGACATCAGCACATTAATAATACAAAGATTATGGGCATGTTAGAATAATAGGATATTACTATCACACTAATCTTATCAGTTGTAAATTACATCTACAGGGACACATGGGGGAGTCACTGTTGTAATGGGGGGAAAAAAAAGAAAGAAAAAATAATGACAGTGGAAAAAAAAATCCCTCTAAATAATCCTGGAAGGACAACATAACAGGTATTTCAAGAAGACTAACCGACCTTCACCCCTTCCCAAATTCTCTACCACTTATAAAACAGAAAAGGGAGGAATATAAGAAAATAGTAATTTATCCTCCATTTTCCCATGGTCCCAAGCACATAAGGCGGTGAGAATTATGTCTGGGCTTGCCTGGGCTTACCCGCCTTATTTCTAAACATCCTGACCCTCCCCTAAGGCAACAGGCAGAGGGGATCAGCCACAATGAAAGGCACCACTCTCTGCACCATGCTGCTGCTCCCTCTCTCTCTCTCTCTCTCTCTCTCTCTCCCCATCCCCCCTCTGGGGGCAGCCACTCTCTCTTTTAGATAATAAAATCTCTTGCATGGGCCAGTGTCTCCTGAGTCGTTCTGGGTAAGGAGGGTCGCAGCGAGATACCCTTTCAGGGGGAAACCCGCATGATGACAGATGGCACAGGAGCCAAGCAAAGGGCATTCAGTCCAGACTGGAGCAGCTTAGAATGGTCTGAGAGGCTTCTTTAAGATACACAATCACTGAATCCAGGGAAAGTAAATGAGTTTTACAGAAAAGAAATGTAATCATAGCTCACTGCATGGCTAGATTTGAATAGTATTTATGTATCATGGGAATGAATGTAAGCACTGAATAATGATCTACTCAAAACAAAACTATTAAGTTTTGTGGATCAAAAACTACACTGGGGTCAACCTAATCTATCAGGAGCATGAGGGACAGGAAAGGTGTATGTGTGTGGGGGTGGGGGAGGGTGCTAGTGACCAGAATGAGTACAATGCTAAGATTTTTTTAATTGTAAAAAAAAAAATTATATCAGTTGTCTTTACTTCCCTGAGAGTCAGAGACCCTTTTGCTCAATTCTAGCATGCTCCCTTCCCATGCCAATTCTATCCCTTAAAAGAATATAACTTTGAGTCCCTCTGTCTACCATTTAGGAAAAGATATCCCTACCCTAATTTATAATTGTAAGAGCAACATTTTCTAAAGATTCTCCTTGATACTAAGAAATTATAGGCAAATTTCATGTCTCAAGATAATACTTCATGAAAGGATCTTTCCCACTTTCTCACCACTCTTCAGAAGAAATGACAGGCCCATGTGTTCACAATTCACATGCAGAACTATTAACTGGCAAGAGTAACACTGTTTTGTCAGTATCTTTCCAAAACAAAGCAAGCGTCCTAAGTATGAATAAGCTCTGTAGTAAACATGTTATGATGAATTTATTCTCTATCTTAAACAGGATGAGTCAGCTCTCTAGACCTTTAAGCCTAACTATCTTAAAAGATAGTTTAATTTTCATTAAACAGTTTATAAAACACCATAAAGGCAAAATCCTTGTCCATAAGTAGATGCATCCTCTCATTTATTAAGGACTTCTTTGAGCCAATTATATAAAAATATGATTGCTGACATTTCAATATGAAAGAAATAGGAAGCTGTAATAAAGAATAGGGAGCAAAGAAGAGGGCAAGAAAATAAGTCAGAAACAAATTGCTCTCTTTAGGAGTCGAGCAGATCTTTCAGAATAGTGATTCCTCGTACCCTTGAGCCAAGTCCAGGAGCAGAAAGAACTTGGCACATCCAAGAAATATTTGCTGAATTTACCTAAGAACTGAACTAAAGCCTATCTTAGCACCCTCTGAGCCAGAAAGTATAGTCTAAAACTTTGGACACAGCTATGTTGGACAGCCTGCATGATGAAAGGCACAGCACCTTCTCTGAGAACAGCACCTCCTTACCTGCTGTTGTACTGGAACTTGCTGTACCACCTGCGTAGGCACTGCTGCTTGACTAGCCACAGATGTCTGTAAAGTCACTGTCGAACCTGTGTCCGACCCAGTCTCTGATGTCTGCATGATGGTCTCTGAAATACATTAAAAGAGACAGAATGTTTTAAATGCTCTCCTTGCATGACTAGCTGCATTACATTTGTTCTTAATATCCTATATTAGACTTTGAACACTGAGACTATCTCTTACCCCCACATATCGTCATGATATTCCATGCATGTTTATAGTTATTCTGACTACTATTCAAAGAAATACAGGTAAATTACCAGTTTGTATTTTTAAAAATTTCCATTAGTACCTCTTATCTTGAGGCTATAAAGCCTGAACTTCATTGATCATGACCTTCCTTAGATCTCATCTGCTATAAAATGTTCCCAACACATTATAAACTATAGTCCAGAATTATGTCAAGACACTCAATTTTCAGAACACAAGTTCTAGCTGGGTGCAAATATGTCATAGAATGTACTTTCTAGACACTTCATAGGCCAAAGGTGTACAATTTAGAATAAATTATTTCTAAGGGCCTATCCAACTTTAAAACTTACTATCCAGAGACTTAAAAAAAGTAATACATACCCAAAAACCAATTGATATACCCTAAACTTTAACCAAAGGGTCAAGCTCACTAGTTTTCTCTGTGGTATGATATTCTACTAAAATCAAAGTTCAATTATATTCTTACACAAAGACAGTCAAAATATCAACAATGTTTAGTACCTTGAATGATGGGGAGAACCGCTATTACATAAATGAGATTTATAAACAAAGATGAAATTTGGCCTTCTCTTATTCACAGTTCAACCTGGCAAATTTTCAGTTCTCATGTGCATGACCTACTAACACAGGTTAAATTTTGCAGCATGTACTCTAACAAGTGTGGTTTCTCAGACTTCCTCATCTTGACATTCCCTTTTGCTACTTAAACAGTCAATAGAACAAATATTAATTTCTTTGCTATTGAAGAGGGACCAGAATTCTAATTTCATTTCCTGGGAGCAAAAGATGTTTAATTGGTAGCCTAAGAAAAGTAATGCATATGGTTTAAGTCTGTGATCAGTGTGCTGAACATTAATTTTCCCAAAGAAAATTCTGAGAGTATTCAGTTCTTTCAAGTAGAAAATTAACCCTTCTCAGCATCTTTTGTCACAGCAAGACCTCTTCCAATTTTTTCCTCAAACCTTTTCTATCATCTCATTCAATTTTAGAAATGGACCTCTGACGACATCTAATCTACTCCTCTTATTTTATAAATTAGGAAACTAAAGCCCAGAGAGGTTAAGACTCAAGGTGACAGTAGACATGAAAGTAGGCCTTTTCACTTTGAATCTGTGCTTAGGTTTCTTTTTAAACCTTGACCCTGGGCAGCACTTTAGGTGACTGAGTATACTTAATCTTTTGTTAGTCAAAACCCTAAAGCAGCACAATACACCTTAACACATACAAAAGACAGAGCAGTAACAGCAAACATTGATTGTTTAACATATGCTAAAGACTCTTCTAAATGCTTTACATGTTAATTCATAAATAAATTAATCCCTGTAACAACCGGATGAGGTGGGTATGATTATATTCTCCATTAATAGGTGAGCAGCCTCAGGCACATAAAATGAAGGTGGCTAGGGGCTTAAAAAATAAACAGAAAATAATGGAGACTGTGGCTACCATCCCATTTATTAGGGTCAGCTAATAATGCTCAGCTCCAGGAACTGTGAATTTGTGGGAATGGTAAACTGTAGCTGCCAGTTCTTCCAATTTTCCCAAAAGAACTAAAAATTTATATTTTTAGGTGAAATCTCACAAATGGTAGCACATAAAAAGAAAATGTAACATTGACCTCCAAACACAAACACAGACACAGACACAGACACACACACACACACACACACACACACACAGAATCCTTTGGACCAGCTAAGACCACAGATATGCTCGAAATGTTTGAGAAGGACAGTATTCATTACATAAAACTCTTGCCTAATTAAGATTATTGGAGGACCAATGGGTCTCAAAATTTGGGAAAGGGACATATACATTAAGAAGCCTAACTGTGCCTCTTCCTCTTTATTCTATCATACAGGGAAAAATAAAGTCCCCAAAAAGAAAGCCAAAACCAGTGTCCTTTGATTCATTACATACTTATAGATTATCAATGCCATTTGTTCAACAGAAGAGGAGCTATGAGTGATGTGATGACTTTCTGCAGAGAATGAAGAACCAGATGTTAGATATCATCTTCATATAGGTAAGGTTTTCTTAGTTTCTCTTCCCAACTCTAAGATAGGTGGTAGCCTTTGTCAGTTTCATATACAAATGAAGAAGACAGGGTTGCCAACTATTCTTGTTTAAGCTGCTCAGTCAAGGGTGGGTGAGTTTTTTACAGTGAGGTCAACTCACACTAAAACCCACTCTTTCTCCCAACGCAGCTGGGAACCTTATTGAGGCTTTCTCATGTGCCTATACATTGTATTGCAGACTTGTCTACACACCTCTTGTTGGTATATGACCCATACTTTGACATCCACTGTTTTAGACCAAACCTCTGCAAGAATATAAAGAAGGCCTCTTTAAAAATTAACGTACTTTTAAAGCAATTCAAACAATTCTCAATAAAACACCTGAGAAAGCTTATCAGAAGATAAAAGGCATAGATTCAGTTGGCCTCCTACACACTACATAAGACTCCCCAGACAGCCTTTGGCTTAGAATAACTACAAATTAACATTCTTAATTGCTAACATTTAAAAATCAGAAATCTTTGCATTAAAAAACAAATGTCCAGATTCCTTTGAAAAATCTGAAAATTCAGAAAACGCAACAGATATTATGTGTTTTATAGGAAAATTATTTAAATGGTGATACTCAAAATCACTTGCCTGGCCTCTATGGGCATTTGAGTTCATGACACATTTTGGGGTAACTAGAAATTTTGTCTTACAAATCCAGATTGAAAATGGAAAATTACTTTTTGTATTTAAGACAATGTGAATAACATTTATACTCATTCACTTCTTTTATACAGAAGAGAAATACCCACACTTCGACTTTTTTGCTAATAGAAATGTGTAACTAGAGGATTGTAACTATCATAATCCTTATTGTATAGATGAGACACCTGAGGCCCAGAGATGTTAGGTCACTTTACCAAGGTCAAACAACTAGAAGTAGGAAAGGAAGATTTGAACATAACACTAAAGCTCACACACTAAGTACCAGAGGAAGGTGGATATCAGGAGTTTCATAATAAACATTACCCAGAGAAAAGAGAAGAGAATAAAAAAAAGCAAACTGATGAACTTTTAAAATGAGAAAGAAGGAAAAAGAAGAGGAGCCTTTGCAGAACGTAACAGGGAAAATGATATGTACAGAAAATGATAGCTTACATAATTTAGGGAGTCATGGAGAACTCTCCACCCAGGTTCTGGTTCTATCTGCATACCACATCTCAAAACTAGCACATAAAACCCAATCCAGGACAAACAATTATATACCAGAACATCTTCTGTTTACTGCTCATCATCTTGTTCCCTTGTCTTCTGGATTACAGAGTCATGTCAAATGATAAGAACTTGGTCTCTCATTTTTTTTCTCCATTTTCCCTTAATGGATACAACTTCATTCCCTCTGATTTCATTGTCTTTCTTAATTTTGAGGAAGAGGCTCTTTTCCAAGGCCTCATGTCTTGAGAGGGTCTTCCTTCTCCATCCCTTCCAGATATTGGCTCAAAAAGTCATAACCATAATTAGGTTTAACTCATTTAACAAGTCTTTTCCAGGTGCCAAATAATATGCTAATTTCTTGAAATACATTCATTTAATCCTCAAAAGACCCCTGTAATGGAAGTATTATTTCCACTAAACAAATGAGGAAACTGAGGCACAAATGGATTAAATAACTTGCTGAAAGTCACACAGCTAGTAAAGGTAAGAGCCTGCATTCAAATCTAGGTTTGTCTGACCTGACAGCCCATGATGTCACCACTATGTATATTACTGTGCAATATCATGATGGGAGGACTTCCATATGAAAAGCTGGAGACTACTGGTTTCAAGAGCAAAAATATCTGGGACTCTCAATCCATTATATTTGATCTACACTTCCAATAACAATGGACAGACATCCCTTGTCTCTCTGACACTGAAATTAGGAAATGCTCTTTCTCTTTCTATCGAAGCCATAAAACCCAACTAGTAAGTATTTTTTCAGAGGCATTTTAACTGATAAATTCTGAAGACCTGATTTAACAGCAGATCAATTAGAATGTTAAAGCATGTTTTAGGAGTGTAACCCTCCTGCCAACTTTTGCTCAACATATAATATAAACCCACTGACATATTCAGAGTATTCTGGTAGCTTTCCAACATTTCTGCAAAGCAAGGATCATAACACAGGGTAGCATATTAGCATGCTTCATTTGTAGGTTTTGTTTTAGACCCAGCATAAACGTTTATGTGGGTATCTGAGGTGTTCCCATTCATCTAGCAGTGGTTTCTGGTGCTTTGTTTATGTTTGGGAGTAATTTGGTTAGTTTAGTTCCTTCACAGCCTCCTTTCAAGTGATATTTGTTTATCAACTACAAATGCAGTCACATTAATCCATTTTGATAAGCTAAATAAACCCCTGCAGTTTGTCCACGATGCAGCCCATATGTAAATGAGTTGTATATTCTTGCAGGAGAGACATGCACAATTTCAGTCTAGTCATCCTTGCCTAATGTGGCTGTCAGGTGTGTCAAGAGCAACAGATGCTTGTTTGACAAAGGACCTTTTTATTCTGGCTAATTAAGCAGTTGGACACACCCGCCTGTTAACGGTTCTGCTTTATACAGCCAGCTCTGGCTGAATCATGCGAATCTACAGCTAAATAGGCCACATTTTGAAAGAAGGCTAATTAACCCCTAGGAGAAGGAAAAGAATATTGCAAAAACCCAGCTGCTGAATGAGACAAGATTAGCATTTCTTCAACCTGATGGGCAAAACCTAGGCAAAGCAAATGTGTTTGGAACAAACATGTGTTATTTCAAGTTTCAAGGCATTCAAATGTTCTTTGTGGAACTTCCTGAAGATTATTTAAT